GAGTACAAAAGATTTAGATCGTCGGAAAAGAACGCCGACCTAAAATCAAAGAGAATGAACCGAGATCTAAAGCTGAAAGCAGAAAGCTATGAATCGCTCTAGGTCTCGAGTCTGAAGTTGTCAATGGATCCATCTGCAAGGGGAGGTTCTTCTTTTATACTGGATGAAGGCGGTGTCGGAGACGGGTCCTTCCTTTTCAGGATATGAATAATTTCTATTCTTCTCGGGATCCACTTTCCTTTTCTTGAGGAACTCGGATAAATTTTAGAATATTTCAGTTTAATTAAACCAACCAAATTTTGGAGGCGAAATTAGGGTTTTAAATGAGTCTTTTCTTAATTTATAAAAGGCTTTTATGAAGGATGCTAAACTCATCTCTAACAGAGGATGCATTGCATCTCTCTTTATGCTATGGCTTCTAAAAACTATCGACCCAAAACTACCCGGTCCCTTGTGCATCACGTTTGGCTTGCCTTTAATCGGAGACACTTCTATGCAACAGATTCTTGAGGAATTCATGTTTCCTTCACGTGACTGATACTGCACAACCTCTCATCACCGCAGCGTTTGAGCCTTTTGGAATGTTTTTTGATATGTTATCTGATAAACTCATATGATTATCTGATAATCTCTTAGGTTATTGAACTCCTTGTCCATAAAAACTTTTCATATAAATAACTATTTCTTGTTCTGAACTTCAAGTCCAAACTTTATTTTATTTAAAACATTCTAAGTGTAAGGAGGTTATATAGTAAGGAGGTTGTTATGGACAAGTAAACTTCTGGTTTCATTATTAATTTCAGGTCCAACTAGGTGATCGGACCGTACAGTGTGTGGGCTATAAAATATATTAAAATTACTCTATTTATATGATTAATAATTTATTAATTATAGACATTATATAAACATTTAATAATAAATCAAATAGAAAATGTTATAGATAGTAATAAAAATTTCTTGTTAAAAACATTAATCAAGAATATAAAATGGTTCCTTAGAATAAAAATGGTAAATATAATAACCAAATAAACTATAAGTATTAAAACATATAAATGGAGTTCCCAAAATATCAAAAGCATAAGCTTAAGAAAGATTTTGAAACACTTCCTTATAGATAACGTTCATAGTTTTTTTTTTGCACTTTTCTTTCTTTGTCTGTTATGAGAACTTTAAGTCCCGATCTAGACTTAACTCTAGATAATGCAACATATAGCTGTTCATGAGAGAAACCTGGTCTAGGTAGAAACAAACTGACATTCTCAAGTGATTGTCCTTGGCTTTTGTAGATAGTCATTGCAAAAGCTAAAGCTAAAGGAAAATGTCTACGGCGCATTCTGGAAGGAAACCTTGTATTTGGTGGTGTCACATACATCCTAGGGATTATAACTACCTGAGCAATCATTTTCTCATATTTTTTTAACAGAACTTAAACAGAAATAAACAAAATGGTGTCACAGCTTAACTAAACCTACTGTTTAAAATAATTTGTGGTTTGTACATTATAAATGCAATATATCATATGGTAGTTATATTTATGAAAGTAAACCAAAGAAAAAAACGTATGATAAGATATTCGAGGTTTATTCTAACAAACCTAAAATAAAATGGTTATTCTATAAATTTTGTAATTTAAAATGGAAATTTGATTAAAAAAAACCATGTGAATGTTAAATAACAAAACATTTTAAAATAGAAATGAAGGTGAAAATAGTTTTAAAATATTACTTGGCAATTTCGAAAGCATGTAGTCATTAATATGATCGACATCATCATTTGTAGGACTAAGGATGGCCTTAGACTTGTAAAAATTCAGATCAGAAGACTTTTTTGAAGAATCTCCATAAACCTTGCGAACAATAGTTTCAATAGGATCTCCACATTGAATAATCAACAACTCTTCGGGAATACCAATTTCAACCAAGCCGTCATTTGGTAGGTTAATCTTTCCATTCAGAGAAAGCTTTAAGACCTGCAGCATCATGATCACTAAGCCCAGCAAGTAATTTCATATTCTTTGTAAGCTTCAAAACCTTGCAGTCTACTTTTTCAACAATGATAATTGATCACATAGTAGACTTTGTTTGCAGTCTACTTTTTCGACAATGATTTCTAATGTGGTTTGAATTTTGTTTTCTTACAGAGAATGGTTCACATACCCACTCTTTATAGTGAAGAAAGACTAGTTGTGGTATTTCTAAGTAGTTTTACATGTTTTTTTTTTTTGTTATGGGTTTTACATGTTTTTGTATAGTTAAAATTGAATTAATTTTCTTGTGTTATAAGAGGTTCAAAGATGGTGATGACTAAGTAAGATGTCAAGAAAGAAGTTTGGTGATGACCATACGTTATGTAATATAAGTATACTTGTGTATATTTTTTCGATTTCAATTCCCGCCCAATTTGTTCTGATTCCCGCCCAATTTGTTAAATAATTTTGTTTTCCCGTTACGTTTTTTTTAAGTCTACTGGAGAAGTCTACCCGAGAAGTCTACTAAATACGTTTGTATACCCGAAACCTTAAATCAAATATTTTTGATGTTAAACTTGTATCAAAACATTAATTTTCTTACCATTTTCACATTTTAAAGTTCAAATAACAATGATATGGACTCTTAATCATTAACCAAACTATAAACTATAATTTATATAGAATTTGGGTTTACCCTAACAATACCCTAAACTTTACATCTCAAACCCTAACCCTTTTGAACTTCAAACCCTAATCCTTTTCAACCTTATACTTATGAAACTTATAAATTGAATTATTTTCATGAAATTTTATTCAATATAGATGCCAATTGTCTATATTTTGGTAAAAATTTTATAATTTTTGTATCATAATACTTTTTATAATTTTAGTAAAAAAATTTAAGATTTAATTATGTAGTAGACTTCTAAGGGGTTGTATGTTTTCTAGTTAATTTTTCTTTCTGCATTTAAATTGATTCATTTGTATGAAATTTTATATTCTATACATGTCAGATATATATGTCTTACTTATCTTCACTAATTTTTAAAAAAATTATTTATTTTATATTTTTTAATTAATTTGTAAAAAAATTAATTACGATTGTAGACTTCTTACGTAGACTTCTTACGTAGACTTCTTACGTAGACTTCCCGAAGGATAAAATCGTAACTGTGGCAGAGGTTTTTTGTTTAGTCATAAAGGACTGAGCTGTAATTTCACTACCCATTTGGATTAGTTTTACCAAACATTCAGTAAGAGGTTTATATATTTAGAAAAAATCAACTTTTAGGTTATAATGAGTAATTTCCCCTTTAATATATATAGATATATAAAAAATTTGATTGTTTAATATAATGTTACTAATTTTAAAAATTTATATAAAATCAATAAGAATTAGTAATCCAACATATATTTTTAAGGAAAATCACATTTTAAACCTCGAAATATGAATTCACTTATACTTTAAACCTTCGGACACTCTCATTATAAACCTTCAAAGTACAAAAATGAACACATTAAACTGTGAAAGTACCTCTCCAGTTCTCTCCGCGAATCATTGGACGGAAAAATTAGCACCGTTGACGGAATAGTAAACGCTGTTAAATCTTTTACAAAACATGTCTATTATTTTATTACTGTTTATTAAAATGATTTATATAAAATAAAAAGAAAAGAGAAACTAAACAATAAAAACTTAAAAAGAGATAAACACGAAATAAAAAAAACCCGATATATCAAACTCTCTAATCAATTTGGGGATTTAGGGTTCTTGAGAGTGAAAACCCCAAAAGTTGAGAGTGAGAAAGAGTAAATCGAGAGTAAATCAAAAGACGACGGTGTTGGGTCTGAAATGGGGTAAGTGTAGTTCTAATCGTTTAATTTGATTTAATTTCGTGATTTCTGTTCGGATTCGTTTGATAGCTTTTGATGAAGTGTAGTTCTTCAGCGTTTGCGATTGTAGTCTCAGTTCCAAATATTGTTTGTTTTCGAGATCGAGTAGTATGAACAGATGTTTTGGTTGGATTCTATTGTTGTAACTTCTTATACTCTCGTTATAGTTTCAGTTTCTAAACATTAGTAGCTATCTATGTTCTTAATGCAGTGATAGTGCAAGTTCATCAACTGTTCAGTACAAGAACGAGAAAGCTCTTTTGTGTAATTGTAACCAGCTTGCAAAGATTGTGAGGGCTTGGACTGATGCCAACACTGGGCGCATATTCTATGGCTGTGTAGGACGTAAGGTGGCTCACGGGTATGAGTCTTGTAACTTTTTCCGTTGGTTTGATGTGGAGAAACCACATGGGTGGCAACATGAAGCATTGATTGAGGCAAGAGATGTCATTCGTGAGCAAAGAGAAGAGATTAAGAACTTGAGGGAAGCGGTAAAAGAACTGAAGCGGGAAAATCCGAATGATTTAAAGCAGACTAGTGAGGAATGCGAAGCACTGAAGCGAGAAGTTTTGATTCTAAATGAAAGGAGTAGGGTATTCCGTAATGTTCTTATCACTTCTTCCGTTGGGTTTACAATTATACTTTGAGTGGTGGTGACGATGTGTAAGTGACGTTAAGCTTGTGACATTGTGTTTACTCTGTTCGGAATTATCGTATTGTCTTTGTTAGATTGTTATCGTCTTTGTCTTTGTATGAGTGAGTTTTGTTGACATTATGATTATTATGTACGAGTGAATGTTGTTTGGGTCCCAATGTTGTTTTGTTAACATTGTTATTTTGTTGACATTGTTGTTTTGAGAGCTTAAACTGAAGTAAACAACAAAATGACAAAAAACATTAAACTGAAACTGAAGTGTAAACTGAACCACTAAACTGAAAAATAACATCAAGTTTTAAAACCAAAAGACATTGTCATTATGTTCTGAAACCAAAATAACAAATTACAAAGCTGCAAACGACAAAAACCAAAAACCAAAAACCGAAAACCAAAATAACATCATGTTCTGAAACATAAGTTCTGAAACATAAGTTTTGAAACAGAATAACAAATTACAAAGCTGCAATAAGCTTAAAATCACTATTCTGGAGGTTGTGAGTTTGAAGTAGACCTATCATAAAAATAGTTTCCAAACACCTCGAAAGGTCTGTCCGTGAATGGACTCCAAAGCGTTCCAACACCATGTGGGATGTTACCTGTTTTTCTGATCTTCAATGGCTTTCCTCGTGGAGCCTTTTTTTGCATGTGGCTTTGGTGGTTGACTAGATGATGGCTGAGGAGCACTTGAAATAACTTGAGGCTGTGAACTTGATTCGCCTGTTTGCTCAGCTTGGGAGCTTGTTGCAGGAGCGGGTTGGGAGTTTGTTTCAGCTGAGCGTTTTTTCCTTGGCTTTGGTGGAGGCTTCAGATTGGGATTAACCTGGTGAAACCGACTGTTAAGCTTGTAGACTAAATAGCAATTCCTGATTATAAATAAGATTTCTGCAACAATTGCTCTTATAGTTTCAAAGCAGTCTAACGAGCGGTTTCATCAAACAAGTCCTACAACTAGAATCATCAAACAAGTCTAACAAGAAGAATAATTAAACAAGTACACATGTACCTCAGCTGGATGCTGACGAGGTTGACCACGCCTGTTCTTTGGTCCCTCAACAACAACTGGTTCATTGTTACATCCTCTGTTAAAATGTCCAGCTTGACCACATCGGCTACAATGTGGTATCCTGCCATGTCTTGTTGCTTTTCCTGCATTATCTAGTTATTCAAAAGGCTCCATGATTCTATCTCTGTTTTTAGGTCGACCTCGAGGCTTATGTACGTCAGGTATTACTATTGGAGGCTTGTTAGTATTAATCCATAGCTTCTCACCGTTGACAGGTTTGATGTTATCTTTATATTTTTTCTTCAAGACATGAGTGTAGTAATACTCAGCCACATCTAGCATCGGGTGCTCTCGATTATCATCTAAGACACATACATCATGTTTGCATGGTATCCCTATAATCAAAAATACAGTAAAGCTCAACTAAAACACAAATTTGTATGATTTTCTAATCACAAAGAAAATTAGAGAAAATAAATAACGAATACATGTAAGATCCCACTTTCTACACGCACACTGGTGTGTGGACAAATTGACTGTATACCCACAACCAAACTCAACCACTTCATACACACTAGAAGAGCTGCGGTTTGTTGAGCAATACTTCTTCGCTTCTTTTGCTTTCTCCATCAGTGCCATTGTGATTGGTGTCACGATTGTGTCACAAGTTTCTGCCTTCAGTGATCGTCTGGATATTCTTCTTATAGCCTGTCTTCTTATATCCTCCAACAAATTTATCACTGGCTTTGATCTAGCAATCTTGATCGTCCTTGTTAAAACTTTCGGACAGATTATTATGCACATCAGCACAATGTGATTCAAGGCTGAAGAATGCTCTACACCACCTCTCTGGTTCGGTCGCCATCAGAGCTTGATAAGCAGCAACGTCAAAGTCTTGTAGCAGCTTCAACTTATCTTCATACTCTCCTTGAGTGTAGCTATACGCAACTCCCCAGAATAGAGTCTTGAACTCTGACCTTGTGAAACATTTCTTTCTCCAATTGGCGTATTTATGCCTTGCACACATTCGATGCTCAGCTTGTGGAAATTCAGCCTCTATGGCAATTTCTAAACCCTCCAAACAGAAATGATATTCAGCCTAACCATTAAAGCATCAAAAATTATTAACATAAATGGTAGACGATAAGTTACCTTCTGCTTATCAGAAATGATGGTTATATCTTTCCCATTTCCCAAGCCAAGATTTTCCTTTATCTTCCTAACAAACCAGCCCCATGTGTCTTTATTTTCACCACGAACCACTGTCCATGCAATCGGATACATTCTATTATTTGCATCTCTGCCGACAGCTGAAAGTAAATCACCAGTCAACTCCCACTTCAGAAAACATCCATCTAAACCAATAACTGGCCTACAACAATTCTTCCAAGTATTCTTCAGCTCTTCAAAGCAGATGTAAAAGCAGTCAAACAGATCAACACCATTCACTTGTATAGTGTTCAGTTCAGTGATAATGTCTTCATGAGATCTTTGAAGTTCAGCTTGATAGTCCCATAGCTTACCAAACTGAGTCGAATGTGCTTCAATGATGCTGTCCAGAGCAATACGCCTTTTCTATAGCATTTTGGCATTGATACAACAATGTTATATCGTTCTTTGATGGCATCTTTAATCTCAGATGCTTGTAGGCCGGCATTCCTTCTTAACTCCTCTCTAAACAATTCTGCAATCACTCCTTGTTTCAACATTGACACTCTACTTGATTTTCCATGAGTGTGTCTCAGCTTACAGACTTTCACCATCCACTTATTAATAGGCTTCTCATAAGAGCAGTATACTCTAAAAGGACAGTCTTCACCACAACAAATCACAGCAATCCTGTTTGCTTCTGACTTTGCCATCTTCACATCAAATTGAGTCTTCAATGAGTATCGCAGCAGCTGGTCCTTGAACTCTAATCCGCTATTAAACTTCTGGAACAACCAGAGAAAAGGCTCTTTATCAAAATCTCCATGAAAATGTGGTTTTCCTCTTGTTATTCTCTTGTTTGCCCATTGTTCTCATTCTTCTTCAGACTCTAGTGGTGTGTCTGGATACTCTTTCTGACCTATACAATACTCTTCCTCACTTTCTTCTGCTTCCCTTTCTGCATCTTTTTTTTTTTCATAATTACAGTACGCTTCTTTCTCTGGATGTACTGATGTCCCTTCCGCAAATACCTCCTTAAATCAAGCATCGCTGCGTCTATCTCCTGCATCCACTACAACCTCATCCCCTTCATCCACTGTATTCAACACAGGAGCACCTCCTTCGCCATCCTCATATTCTTCCACAGAGATATCTCCTTGATTCTCAGCCACATCTCCTTGGTTATCAGCCACACCGTCACATTGATTCTCAGAAACATTCTCCTTTTTATTGATTTCATCCTCCGATTCTTCAGGTTCTTCATCTTCTTTCGGTCTGTCAATATCATCATCATCACTATCTTTATTCTCATCCCTGTCCTCTTCATCTTCTTGACCACCCTCATATCCAGCTGCAGTATCATCTTCATGCCAATTCCTATCTTCAACTTGATTGCTTGTGAGGAGAAAAGTGTTCGTATGTCCAGGTATATGTTATGAGCATTCGTGATCGATAAACACATCAAGCTTACCTGATAATTTTTTCCCAGCCAAACAAAGCAAGTCTTCATTATCTATCGCATAGTCAATGCTTTTCATCTCTTCCCCTGCTTCTTTGTACCAGATAAACATAATCGGTGTACTAATATGACATTTGTTTTTAAGGAAGTCTTCAAACCTCTCCCATGTAATCTCTGACTGTTTCCAGTTGACGTTGAGAGTACCCAATTTCTCAACATAATTGTAACTCTCATTCTCCTTCTTCATAGTACCACCAAATTGAATTCTGAGTTTTAACATCACATCGTCACTGCATTAAGAACATACAAAGATAGCATCGCGTCGTTACAGCACTCGCAAAATATAGAACAATCGACTCGAACTACAATCGAAATCAACAGAGGGATTACACTTACCCCATTTCGATTCCACCGTCGTCGTCTCTTCTTCGTGATTCACGTTTTTCACTCGTGTATCTCTTAATAATTTCTGGATTTTGACGAACCCTTAATCGATTTGGGGATTTTTGTTTAGGGGTTCTGTCCGTGTTTGGCTTTCGGTTTTGTTTAAAAATTTTATTAGTATTTTTCTTATTTGTTTTTAATAAACAAAACTAATAAAATAATAACCATGTTTTGTAATAAATTAACACCGTTTACTGTTCCATCAAAGGAGTTAATTTTTCCGTTCACTGATTTGGCGGCGCAAACTCGGAAGCTACTTTGACAGTTTAATATGTTAATTTTGTACTTTAAAGGTTTATAGTGAGAGTGTCTAAGTCGAAGGTTTAAAGTGTAAGTGAATCCAACTTTGGAGGTTTAAAATACGATTTTCCCTATATTTTTATATTATATATAAATACTAGACTAGGACCTACGTATACGCGGATTTATAATAATAAAATTTTAAATTCATTTTAATAATTTTAAAAAGGAAAAACGATATATTTCTCTACAGGAAGTATCGTATAGCACTAGATGAAGTCCAAACAATGATCTCGTTCTACATATCCCCGAGATGAAAGTTAAAGATCTAGATATCTCTGAATTAAAAGTTTGAAACTTCTATCTTCACAAAATCAAAATACAAATTGTGAGAACCCATAAATCGTGGTTTTACACGGTTTACTATTTTGAGAAAAACCATCAACCACGGTGAACTAACAATAAACCCAATTATGACCCGATTACACATAATAAACCAATAATTGACTCGAGCAATTGATTTAACCCCTTTTGACCAAAAATCCCCAAATCACTAACCCTAAATCATAAATAGTGCCTAGAAACACTAAAATCGCAAAAGCTTGAAATCCATGGCTTTAGTGATTCGAGAGGGTGCAAACGAATTCGATGAAGAAGCACGCGACTGAGAAGACTTTCAAATCGAGTAGCTTATCCAAGAGTTCGTGGATGATCCTTTAATTCTTCATGACGTTTATCATGAGTCTGAAAGCGATAGTGAAGAAGAAGGAGGAGAAGGTGAAGAGGGTGAAGAGGGTGTTAGACAAGAGAGAGAAAGACAGCCGACCCATATTCGACCTGGTGATGGAAGATTGTATAAAAACTAGACATTCTTCAATGGCGTTGCTTTCAAAGAGTGTTGGTGTTAAGGTTTTTATGCCTTTAATCAATCCTCAAACACACATGTCATTGTAGTACTTGAGGTGTCAATCCACTTGCGAAGCTAATATCACTTGAGATATAGAGAGCTTTGCTAATCTGAGCTAATGGAGAAAGGTCTTGATATCTAACAACCTATTGACAAACAAGGAAGCAAAAGAAGGCAAATAAAGAGTAATATGACCAAAGTAAAGCAATGATAATAGCAATCAAAATAAGCAAAAACAGAATATAACTAAGCTTCAAAGATAAAAGGCAAGGCTCAAGATGAAGGCAATGTGGCTTAAGGTGGTTCTAAATAATGTTCAAGGTGTGAAGTAACAATCAATACAATAATGATATCTCCATTATTTATACTATTTTAGCTTGCATTCATCACTAGTTTTAGTCTCTAAACATGCATATTTTGTTTCTTCTTGTCCCATTTGCATACATTTAGGAGTAAGTGTTGTTTTAGGAGCTGCATTGCATTTTGCATGCATTTGGAGTTTTATTCAGGTACTTGAAGAAGTGTGGAGGTCATGTGGAGCAATGGGTGTGATCTGGGAATGGAGCAAGGCAAGAGACAAAGGCGGATGGACCAATATCGATGATGATATCGACATCATGTGATCGATACAGAGCATATCGATGGGAGTATCGACCACTACAACATCGATACAGAAGAGGCAAAGTGTGAAGGAAGCATATCGACTTAGACACCTCGATGCAGCAGAATGGAGTCCATATCGAGTAGTGTATCGACGTTCCAGACCGATACACATGACAGGACAATACCGAGGTTCCATATCGACTTGCTTGATCGATGAGCCTTAACTAAAGGGCGATTGTATCGACTTCCCACTTTGGAGAGCCAAACCGATACAACTCAGAAGCCTTCTGTATCGACATGCATATCGACCTAGAGGCATCGATACAATTCAGAGGAAGAGAAGATATCGACATGTGTATCGATGTTCAGTGTCGATATGGTCTGTCCGAGTCAGCTTATTTTCGGTTTAATCTTGGTTTACTAGGGTTTTTCTTGTTTCCCTATAAATACTAAAGTCCTAAAATGGTTAGGTAACTTGGATCTTTTTATTTTCTTTCTGTTCTTGCATAAAACCTTTCCTTTTTCAGCTTCGCTTTGTAAGAACTAGTTTAATTTAGTGAATTTCTGTATTTGCCTTTGATTTATTCTTGTTTATTCTGCTTCCTAATCATGCTTAACCATTTTTTTTTTAGAATTTGTGGTTTTGACTATGGCTAGTGAGAAGTCTTATCTAGGGTTTGAGATGGGATAGATTAGAAGGGTTTTAGGACTAGATTAGTGATATCTTTTGCCTAATATGATTGTCTTCTCTCTATTAGATGTGCTTAACACTAGATTAGTCTTGGCCAGACTTGTTTAGTATCTTGGTTTTTTCTAGCGCCTGGTAAGTGTTTGATGAAATGCTGCTTAGAGTCTCTTAGAGGATTTGTATGCTTAGCCTAAGGAATTAGATGTCTAAGGTGCATTTTGGCTTTATAGGATTGGAGTTCTGTTCTGAATGCTTGCTGGTCATTTGTTTAAGTAAAGGGATTTATCTTGAATGTGTCCTTAGCAAAGTGATTAGTGTCAAGGAATTAAGCTAGTTATAGTTGTTAATCATATGCCTATAAAATAGCATTGTTTGAATGGTTTTGAAGTATCAGTAATTAGGTTCTTAATCCCCTCTTAATCAATAACCTCCATCTTAGATCCTTACTTCATATATCTGAATTTCCTGCTTTGCTTAGTTTTGTCTTTGGACTTGTTAGTTTTTTTCACAACTGCCATTTTGAATCTAGTTTGACTTAAATGATTTGCTGTATTCTTGGTGCCTTAAGAACTCAGATGGATTGATACCTTACATGCTGCAATGACATGAGTATGTTAGGGTTTGCTTAGTAGTTTATCCTGCTATCAAATTAGCGTCGTTGCCATATGGGTTTAGCTTAAGCATTAGGATTTATGGATTGTCTAAGATCAAGCTGTTATTTTTTCTGTTTGTTACTGATTTACAAGCTACTCTTCTGCTTATAGGTGTATGAACTTGAGGTCTAAAGGCAATCAAAACCTTCTGGACAATCAACACAACATTCTGCAAGTGGAAAAAGCACTAAGAGCTACAAGGGAAAGCGAGAGACTCCAAAGGTTTCATCAGCTCAACATGGAGCATGGTTAGATTATCAGCGACTTCATGGACAACCAGGAGCACAAGGTTCTCAAGGAGTTGCTGGAGTTCAGGGACAGCAGGGAGTCCAAGGTGAACAAGGTCAGAGAGGATCAGCACATGGCGCACGCCCAATCAGACCAATTGGAGCTGGTGACGCCCCAAACGCTTACAACAACCGCACTGGGATCATTCCTCCAGCAGTGCAAAACAATAATTTTGAGATCAAGTCTGGATTGATGTCAATGGTTCAGGGAAGTAAGTTTCATGGTTTACCACTTGAAGACCCTCTGGATCACTTGGATAACTTTGACAGACTTTTCTCCCTTACAAAGATATATGGAGTAAGCGAAGATGGCTTCAAGCTCAGGTTATTCCCTTTCTCTCTTGGCGGAAAAGCACACCAATGGGAGAAAAACTTGCCTCAAGGAAGTATCACCAGCTGGGATGAGTGCAAGAAAGCTTTTCTAGCAAAGTTCTTCTACACTTCAAGAACTGCTAGAATCAGGAGTGAGATCTCTGGTTTTGCTCAGAAGAATAGTGAGAGTTTTAGTGAAGCATGGGAGAGATTCAAGGGATACACACTTCAGTGCCCTCACCATGGATACACACTTCAAGGCCTAGAGCTTGTGGAGAACTTAGCCCAAGGTGATGGCAATTATAGTGAGGACTATGATAGAACTCCAAGAGGAGAAGATGGCAACACTAAGAAGGAGCTGGAGTCTACAAGAAGAGAATTGAAGGAGCTGAACACTAGGCTTGACAAACTTCTCCAAGTGTAACACAAAGAGATCAACTATGTTGGTGAAATGGTGGAGATGCCTAATGAAGAGGAGCTACAAGTATAGGAGATGAACTACTTGGGTAATCAAGGTGGATACAATGGGTATGGGAACTTCAGACCTAACCCAAACCTGTCATACATAAGCTAAAATGTTACCAATCCCCAAGATCAAGTTCACCCTCAACAGCAACCTCAAGGGAATTAACCAAGACCTTTTGTGCCATTCAACCAAGGTTATGCACCAAGGAACAACTTTCAAAGCAACTTCCAGCAAAAGCAGTTTGGTCCTCCTGGATTCTCTTAAGGTCAAGCAAGCTCATCCAACACCAATGATGCTGAAGTGAAAGGACTGCTGCAACAACTCCTTCAGGGCCAACAAGCTACTAATGTGGAGATCACAAGGAAGTTTGTTGAGGTATACAACAGAATGGATACTCTTCATATGGAGCTGTCAAACAAAGTTGATGGGCTGGTTTCAAGAGTAAAGACACTAGAAAACAACAAGGGGCATAGCTGGTCCAAAATCTCAAGGAAACCTTTCTGGAAAACCAGAAGCTAACCCTAAGGAGTTCTGCAATGCCATAGTCATTGAAGAAGAACCCTTCTCAGATGAAGAGGAAGCTGTCATTGAGGAGTTCCTTTCTCTGTTCAATGAGGACACTGAACTTCAGAGTGAGAGGGGGGGAGGGGGGGAAGAGTTTTTGGAAGTTAACGCCAACCATGGAGTTGCAAAGAAAACAGTCTCTTGAAGCAACAGCAACTAAGGAGGAGGAGAAGAAAGGGCTACTTGAGGAGAATCAAGCTGAGAAACAAACTGGGATCTATGATCATTCTCCTTACA